GCGAGCGCAGATTGTCGCGCAGGCGCATCTTGAAGTCCGGGAAAAGCTCTGGGTCTTCAAAGGCCATCTCGAACATGCCGGCGAGCACCCGGATCTGTTTGGCGAGATTGGCGTGGTTGACGTGCTCGGCTCGGTCTAAGGGCGTATCGACGAGGAAGCGCGCATCGTTGACTGTGACAAAGGCCAACGCCGGCGTACCGGTTGCTAACACCAATTCGCTGTTGACCGATATTTCGCCCGGCACAAAGGTCTGCCAGCTCATCCCGCCTTCGGGACTGATGCCATTGACCAGCACGTCGCGCCGCTGGTAGCCCAACTCGCGGCTGATCTTGCGCGCATAACCCATGAAGTTCTTGCCGAAGGGCGCGAAGTAGCGCTTGTAGTAAAAGCTGGTATTGCTATTCCACACTCCGAGCTCGTCGGTCTGCGACGAAAGGTCGAGGCTGATGAAGAGCTTGACCGCGAGCGAATCGACTTTGGGATCGACCCAGCGCTTGTAGAGCGCAAGGCGCAAGTCGTCGTCCGAGTGCAACTCATCAACCAGTTCGTGGCGGTTTTTGAATTGCTTGCCGGCGAGGTGCAGGGCGCCTTCTTCTCGACTCAGCAGCCCCTTAATGCCCTCTATTGTCTTCTTCCACAAGCCCCACGAACTGCTGGCTGCGTCTTCCTCTTGGTCCAGCAGCCCTTCGGCGAGTGCGGCGTCGGCAATGTGCGCGGCCAAGTCGGTACGTCCTTCGGCAACGCTCCGCACGAGGGCTTCCTTGCCGGTAAACTCCTCCTCCTCGCCGATGGCGTAGTGGATGCCGTCTTGGGCGATCATGTTCCGCGCAAGTGCGGCATCGACGACCCGCCGTACCAGCATGTGTTCGATAAAGGGATCCTCTTTGCGCAAATAGCGCTGGATGAAATCATCGACCCCGCGCAGGCCCAAGTGGTGCGCCGAAGTGGCGAGAAAGACGATCGTGCGCGCCGGTGGGTTGGTGCGAAAATAGCGCGCCAGCTCTAAAAGCGCAGTAATGCTGGAGGCCTGCTCGGCACCCGGGGCGAGGGCTGGCACGACCGACATGGCGTCGTAGTACGCCTCCAGCACGATTACGTCTTCTTTCAGCAAGGGATCGTATCCGGGGATCGTGCCGAGGATATTCCAAGCAGAACGCCGCTCCCAATCCATGCGGTACTCTAGGTGGAGCATCTGCTCGCCCGCGGCGGCCAACTGGTGGCGCAAGTGCTGGCCGGCTTGGCGATTGATCCAGAACCTCGGCAGGTCGAGCGGCATGGAGAGGAACTTTTTTTCGCCCTCCAAGTACACGGTGGAGTCCGGCTCGATAAAGAGGATGGCCCGCGCCCCGAGATAGGCGGCATTGAGCCAAGCGTCGCCCGAATTGAAGTCCATCAGGGCCATGGCTCCTTCGACTTGTTTGCCGTCCATGTCCGCGTACTCGCCCGCGCCGGCGTCGATCAAGCGCCCGGTCACCCCGCCTTCGGGCAGCGTCGAGGTTTTGACTAGATTGGGCCAGAGGCCGTGGATTGGCACTGATTCGTCGCTGCCGACGACTTGCAGAAACCCGCCCTTATCGACCGGAATCGAGACATCGTATTCGTGGATTGTGATGTCGTCGAGGCCGATTGCGCGGAAGCGCTCCTGCACGATCTGGGCCGCTTGGTCGGCACCTGGGTAGCCGGCGATTCTAGATCCCAAGCTGGCAAAGGTGTCCATCGTCTGCTGCACGCGCTCGACTGGGGTCGTGCGCGCCAACTCGGCAAAATCGACCTCGGCTTGGGCTAGTGTTGCGCCGGCCAGAACCCAGCCGAAGGCCATCCACCTCACCGCGAACTTAGGCATAATTGTAAGTGCCTTTCTCAGATCCAGAAGACCACATTGTCGGTCATGCCCATAAAAAAGTCGATAATCAACCAAAGCCCGGCGATGAAAAACTGGCCTATGATCAGGCCTAAAAAGAAGGGACGCGCCCGGCGAAAAAGGCTGGGACCGCCGTATTTCATCGCCAATAGCTTTAAGAGCCAAGCAAGGGCAATACTAAACCACAACTGATCCATCAGCCATACGGCACCAATGGGGTATCCAATGGGATGCAGCGGCCACCACAAGAGCCGCTGGCGCGCCCACATGAGCAGGGCCATGATGCCCCCGCCGGCAAAAGTGTGAATCCAGCCATCGATGTTCGGCTTGGTGGGCGCGCTTAACTTGGTGGTAATATAATCAAAAGGGGCGCGAGTTCCACCACCAAAAAACCACCCGTTGAGATTGATGCCGCCGTATTCGTAGGCGAGGTACAAAATCGCTGCGACCGAACCGACAATGCTGACAAAAATCGCCAGCAGCATGTACCAAAAAAGCGGGCGCAGCCGCGGCCCCAGTTCCTCGCCCAACTTAAGGCCGTGCGCGCAGGAAGCCATGACAAACGTGCGGATATCCGCCGCCCACACATAGGTGTACGCGAGGCCCACCATGCCCGCCGGGCCGAGCGCCGAAGAGCCTACGGCCGAGACCAAGGCCGACGAAGAAATCATCGGCCCGACTGCCGCGGCCACGCCTCCCTCTACTACCACCCGGGTCAGGCCAACGAAGATAAGGATGGCCAGCATCAGGGTCAAAAAGGCCGCCCACAGCGGCAAGCCGGACTGCCACAGCCAGATGGTCATCACCGCGACACCGGCGAGCCAAGTTAAGACCGCCGCCCGATAGGAGAGCATCTCGCCGCTGTCGTCGATGCGGTCGTCGCCCTTGAAGGCCTTGCGCAGCACATCGCGCAGGTGCTCGCGGCCGACCCATAGGCCGAAAAGCACTAAGACGATCATCGCCCCCTGCCCTTGGTGGGCGAGAATTGGCTCGCTAGGAGCGCCGTAAATGCCCAGCTTTTCGGTGCTGCCGACCCCTAAAATCCCCAGCCCCCCTCGGATCAGCTTGGCAATGGTGTTGAAAAACCACAAGCTGAAGGCGATGTCGAGGTTGATTAGATAGGCGAACCCCACCATGGGAAAGCTCAGGCGGAAGATCAGGCTGGTGGTGTTGCGCAGGATCGGCACAGAGGAGACGAGCTGGATGGCGGGAATGAAGTTGAAGTACGCGTGTAGGGCGTTGAGGCTGCTGACGAGCACGGGCAAGGCAAAGCCGATCCACATGATCGGGTTTTTGAAGAAAGGACCTAGCGCCTGTCCGCGGCCTCCGCTCTCCACCATAGCCAAGGGCACTTGCACCAGCGGGTAAACCAGCCGCTCCCGCTCCACCCACTGGCGGCGCAGAATGACCATCGACGAGATCATAACCAAGTACAGGGCCACGATTAGCACGGCCCAATAGCACAGCGGGCCGACCCAGACGGCCCAAGGCACCCCAGCGGTGCGTGGTGCTCCTTCGTAAAACCACTTGATCGACTCGGGATCCTGCGGCGCGATCCACTCGGGAAGGTGCGGCAGGATGTGCAAGGCCCACTCGTTTCCGGGGTGGCGTAGTACTGGGCGCCGGTGATGATCGTTAGCCAGTACTCGCTGAGGCCCATCGTGGGGATGGCCGAGGCCGTCAGCATCATAATGTACGCGACGATGAGCTCGCCGCGCCCGAGGGCCACAGGAGCGGCGAGGCGAGTCAGCAAGGCATTGAACAAGCCCGTCAGCACGAAGAAGAGGAATAGGGCACCCGCCGCGCTGAAATCAATCGACATGTAGGAGCCGCGGATGACCATGTTGCCGTACGGTGCTCCCACGGCGATGCACAGCGATCCTAGCGTGCCCGCCACTAGCGCTTTGGCGCTGAAGACCGTCTCGGCTCGTGCTGGGGCCTGAAAGGTAGGCTCTTGCGGCATTGATACGATCTATAGGAGAAAAGGCATGTACATTTACTGATCCTGGTCCAACCAGCCTATTTTCGCTAGTTGCTCCAAGGTCCACCAAGCCAACAGGCCGATCGCGCCCCCGCTCACTAAAGCGCTAAACAAGGCTAGCGGCAAAAGCGCGAACAGACCGCTATGGCCGATATAGCCAGCGGCGATAACGAGCTGGCTGAGCTGGTGCGCCAACGCGCCCCAGATGCTCAGGCCCACGACGCTGAAAAGCCGCGTTCCCATGCGGCGGACCGCAACCATGACCAGCCAGCTCGTCAAGCTAGCCCCACCGCCGATGACAAAGGCCGGACCGGCAAAGCCCCCGCTGAGCAAGCCGCCGACTGCGAGCTTGGTGGCACTAATCGCCAGCGCCGGACGGCCGCCAAAGCTCACCAGTGCGACCAAAACCGGCAAATTGCCAAGCCCCAACTTCATCCAAGGCAAGGCCTGGGCACCAGCGATTCAAAGACGAAGAGCACTATGCCGCACTAGCCATAAGCCCCAAGCGGGCCACATCTCTAGGTCGCGCAAACATCAGCGAATCATCGCGTCTATGGGCGCGGCTCCAGCGATCCTCAGCACTAGGCCGTTGGGCACGCACGCGGTCACGTCGCCCGCCCGCTGCATCCAGCCCTGCCGCATGCAGATCTTGTGGACGCAGGGCGCGGAAATCACGCGCGCCCCCTTGGGGCCGATCTCGATCTCGCTCGTTCCCAAAGGTCCTACAACCGGCAAGACTCCGTAGCTTGGAGAGGGCATGGGCGGTGGGCGCGGCCCCCGCCAACTCGACGATGAGCACGCCGCCGGCTTCGGCCGTGTAGCGACCGTAGAGTACCAGCCCGATCGCACTTAAGCCCACGACGAGCGCGAGGATTTTATCCGCTCGCGTCAGCACTGGTGCGTTTTCGGTATTTAGTCGCCACATCCTGCGTCCTGTTCCCTTCCCATTTTAATTTAACTTCTACTGCGCGTGCAAACGAGTGGGGAACCCCTGCTTGTATGTACTTGTTTTTTTTCTAAATACTTATTTATATTGACGGGCAAATAGAAGAACGAAGGATCTCATGGTCGAAACCACTCCCACGCCTCTTCCGGCCCTCCCGAAATACCTACCTGGACGAGCTCGTCGAGCAGGGAGGCGACGAACTGCGGCTGTCGATGCTGCTGATCGAGGTCTCCTCCTGCAACGACCAAGCCGATTTCGCGCTGATCAACCGCGCCTACCACTTTGCCAAGGAGCATCACAAGGGCCAGATCCGCAAGTCCGGCGAGCCGTTCCTAGCCCACTGCGTCGAAGTGGCTCGGCTCCTCGCCCAGCTGGGCTTGGATCACACCACGGTTGCAGCCGGGCTCTTGCACGACGTCATCGAGGATACACCGGCCACGGATGCGGAGGTCGCCGAGCAATTTGGCGACAAGATCGCCGAACTGATCGCCGGGGTTACCAAAATTGATCAGATAACCTACGAGAGCCGCGAGGCGCGCCAAGCCGAGACCTACCGCAAGATGCTGCTTTCCATGGTCAAGGACATCCGCGTCATACTCATCAAGCTGGCCGACCGCCTGCACAACATGCGCACGCTCCAATATTTAAGCCTCGAATCCCGCGAGCGCACCGCGAGCGAAACGCTCGAAGTGTACGCACCGCTGGCCCACCGCTTTGGACTGGCGCGGATCCGCTGGCAGCTAGAGGACCAAAGCCTCAAGTTCCTCGAACCCGAAACTTACCAAGAACTGCGCGAAAGTGTGGCCATGACGCGCCGAGAGCGCGAAGACTATATAAAGGAATTTAAGGTCCCGATCGAAGAGAGCCTGCACGCCAATGGCATTAAAGCCGAGTTTACGAGCCGCGCCAAGAACTTCTACAGCATCTACAACAAGATGAAGGCGCGGGGTAGGCCCTTTGACGAAATCTACGACCTGCTGGCCATGCGCATCATCACCGGCACCGTGCGCGAATGCTATCAAATTCTCGGCTGGGTTCACCACATTTACACCCCCATCCCCGGGCGTTTCAAAGACTATATATCGACTCCCAAGAGCAATATGTACCAGTCGCTGCACACTTCGGTAATTGGTCCTAAAGGCCAATATGTCGAAGTGCAAATCCGCACCGCGCAGATGCATCACACGGCCGAAATCGGCATCGCCGCCCACTGGCGCTACAAATCCAATGACACGGGTCCCAGCGATTTAGACCAACACATGAGTTGGCTGCACCAAGTCATGGACTGGCAACAAGAGGCCACCGACCCGGTCGAATTCATGGAAAGCCTGAAGACCGAGCTGGCGTCTCAGGACGAGATTTTCGTCTTCACCCCCAAAGGGGACCTACACCAGTTGCCCAAGGGGGCCACACCGATCGACTTCGCCTTTGCCATCCACACCGACATCGGGCTGCACTGTTCGCGACGGCCAAAGTAAACGACCAAATCGTGCCGTTAAGCGCGACTTTGAACAGCGGCGAAACCGTGGAGATCGTCACCGACGTCGCAGCAAAAGCCCAGACTCACGTGGCTGGATCAAGTCAAGACCGCCAAGGCCCGTCAAGCCATCCGCCACTGGCTGAGGGAGGAGCAATACGACCACAACGTGCGCCTTGGCAAGGAGGCGCTCGACAGGGGCTGAAGCCTATCGGGCCGCCGACCCACCTGACCTTGATGCCGTGGCCAAGGAGTTCGGGTTCAGCGACGCCGAGCACCTCTACGCGGCCCTTGGCAACGGGGACCTGTCCATCGGCAAGGTCATCAGCAGAATAGCTCCGCCCGAACCCAAGCGGCGCGCGCTCCGGCCCCAAGACCGCAGAGACATCCGCATCCAAGGCATGCAAAACCTGATGATCTCTTTGGCAAGTGCTGTGGTCCCATCCCGGGCGACGATATTGTCGGCCTAGTCACCCGAGGTCGCGGCGTCACGGTCCACCGCACCAACTGCCCCAACATCGGCCGGATTTCCGCCGAGCCAGACCGCCTGCTCGCGGTCGAGTGGAAAATGGAGGACGAACCGGCCTTTACCGTTCAGCTGCGCACTCGCGCTGGGACCGCACGTACTTGCTCGCGGACATCGCGGGGGCGATCAGCGACGCTGGCTCCAACATCCGCGACTCCACTACCCGCACCGATGGCCACATCGCCGAACAGGACTTCTGGATCGACGTCACCGACAACGAGCAACTGCGCCAGGCCATAGACCAAATCGAGCGCATCGAGGGCGTTTTGGAAGTGCTGCGCGTGGATGAGCCTGCAAACGGCGACCTGCTGCCTTAGCTGTGTCGGACCTGTTTCGCCCCAATATCGCCCGCCTGCGCGGCTACGTCCCCGGGGAACAGCCCCGCGAAAAGGGCTATATCAAGCTCAATACCAACGAAAACCCCTATCCGCCCTCCCCCTTAGTGCTAGCGCGGCTGCGCGATGCCTGCTCAGCTGATCTGCGCCTCTACCCCGACCCAGACGCTTGGGCCCTGCGCCGCAAGTTGGGTGAGGTATTCGCCATTTCTCCCCAACAGATTATGGTCGGCAACGGCTCGGATGAGCTGCTCAATGTCATCATTCGCAGCTTCGCCGGCGAGGGCGACAAAATCGCCTATCCCCATCCTACGTATGGCTACTACAAGCCGCTGATCGATATCCAGGGAGCGGAGGCGGTCCCGGTCGAGTTTGACGAGGATTTCTCCCTGCCCGAGGGCCTAGCCGTGCCCGGGGCCCGCGTCACCTTTCTCGCCAATCCCAATGCCCCCTCGGGCACTCTCGTGCCCTACGACGAAGTCGCTGCGCTCTGTGCGCGGGTTGACGGCGTCTTGGTCGTGGATGAAGCGTATGTCGATTTTTCGCAGGGTGGCTGCGTTCAGCTCATCGAGGAACACCCCAACGCCATCGTCGTGCGCACCATGTCCAAATCCTTTTCCCTCGCCGGCATGCGCATTGGCTTTGCCTTTGCTCCGGCCGCGCTAATCGAGGGGATGTGGAAGGTCAAGGACCACTACAACCTCAATCGGCTGAGCTTGGTGGCCGCCGAGGCTGCTCTAGAAGATATCGACGCGATGCGCGCAAACGCCGCCCGCGTCTGTGCGACGCGCACGCACCTGTGTGCTGGGCTGCGGGCGCTGGGTTTTTACGTGTGGGATTCGCAGGCGAACTTCGTGCTCGCTAGGCTCGGTGAGCGCTGGACCAACTGCGCCGCGGCCGAACTCTACGCGCAGCTCAAGGAGCGCCGGATCTTGGTGCGCTACTTTGCCGCGCCGCCGCGCTTGGCCGACTGCCTGCGCATCTCGGTGGGCACGGACGCAGAGATCGCCGCGTTACTGACCGCCCTAAAAGAGCTATCACCCGTTTAAGCGCTCGGCAATGCGCGGGGTGCGCCCGCCGCGCTGGTGCATACTGGTGATCATGTCTCCTAAGAAGCCGATGGAGAAGCACTGGATGCCGACGATGATCAGCAGGATACCCAGCATGAGCAGGGGATAGCGATTTTGGATGTTGCCGTGCTCGTAGCGCAACAAGGCCACATAGGCGCAGATGACCGATCCGCACAGCGTGGAGCCAAGCCCCAAAGTGCCGAAAACGTGCATGGGCATGGTCATAAAGCGCACCACGAAGGTCACGGTCAGCAGGTCTAAAAACCCATTTAGCAATCGCTTGGCCCCGAATTTGGAATGGCCGAAGCGGCGGGGATGGTGTTGCACCGGAATCTCGCCGACTCGATAGCCCATCCAGTGGGCCACGGCGGGCAAAAACCGATACAATTCTCCGTAGAGGTAAGGCAGCGCGTCTTCGGCTACCTCGCGCCGATATGCCTTGAGGCCGCAGTTGAAATCGCGCAGGCGCAACCCCGGAGACCAGCGAGGTGATCCAGTTGAACAAGCGGGAGGGGAGGGTCTTGCTCAAGGGGTCGCGGCGCTTTGCCTTCCAGCCCGAAACCAAGTCGTAATCTCGGTTGAGCTCGGCCAGCAGCCGGGGGATTTCGCGCGGGTCGTCTTGCAGGTCGGCGTCCATAGTGACGATGACTTGGCCACGCGACTGCTTGAAGCCGGCGGCGAGAGCCGCGGCCTTGCGGTAGTTGCGGCGGAAGCGCAAGGCGCGCACTTGTGGATGCTGTTTGGCCAACTCTCCCAAGACCGCAAACGAGGCGTCCGTGCTCCCGTCGTCCACGAAAATGGCCTCCCAAGCCCATTCCGCGGTTGCGAGAGCGCGGTCGATCTGGACCCACAGATGGGGCAGGCTTTCCTCTTCGTTAAAAACGGGAATGACGAGGGAAAGAAAAACCTCCCCTGCCGCTTCTTTCTCTTGGCCCATGGTCTCCTCTCTTGCAAGCAAGTGCCCTCACAATAAAACAATCGCCGATTGCCGAACACAAACCGGCCCGATTCTCTTGACACCTGCGTCCCCCCAACGGTATATACGGACATGCAGCTTCCCTTGGGTTCCCACATTCATTTGATTGGCGCTTGTGGCACGGCCATGGGGTCTTTGGTCCGGCATGTTGCGCGAGCGGGGGTATCGCGTCTCCGGGTCGGACAGCCACGTCTATCCTCCGATGAGTACCCTGCTCGCAGATTTGGGGATCGACGTGCAGGCCGGCTTCTCGGCGGATCACTTAGTGCCAGCACCGGATTTGGTCGTAATTGGCAACGCAGTCTCGCGTGGTAACCCAGAGGCCGAGGCCGTACTCTCGCGTCGGATCCCGTACCTGTCGCTACCGGAAGTGCTGCGCGATTTCTTCATCCGCGGCAAATGCTCGGTGGTAGTAACCGGAACCCACGGCAAAACCACCACTACCGCGCTCATCGCCCACCTCTTCACCGCCGGTGACCTGGATCCTTCCTTTCTCGTTGCCGGGGTGCCGCAAAACTTCGACCGCTCCTATCGGCTCGGCCAAGGCCCGCACTTCATCGTCGAAGGCGACGAATACGACAGTGCCTTCTTTGCCAAGTGGGCGAAATTCTACTACTACTTGCCCGATGTACTAATCGTCAACAACATCGAATTCGACCACGCCGACATTTACCAAGACCTTGGCGAAATCGTCAAAGCCTTCCGCCAACTCGTCAACATGGTGCCGCAAAACGGCCTGATTCTAGCCAACGGCACCGACCCCAATATCGCCGAACTGCTTCCCGACGCGCTAGCACCCGTAGAGACCTTTGGCCTCGAAGAAGGCGCATTTTGGCGCGCCACCAACCTCCAGGCCCGTGCCGAGGGCACGCGCTTCACCTTGTGTCGGGCAGGGCAAGCGGTGGGGGATTTCGACCTGCCGCTGAGCGGCGACTACAACGTCTGCAATGCTCTCGCCAGCTTGGCCGCTGGTTTCCGCGCTGGCCTGACGGCCGGTGACCTGCACGCGGCCTTGACCAGCTTTGCCGGCGTCAAGCGCCGACAAGAGCAGCTTGGCCTCATCGACGACATTCTCCTCATCGACGACTTCGCCCATCATCCCACTGCGGTCGCCTCCACCCTAGCAGGGTTGCGTCGGTCCCATCCCGGACGCAGGCTCCTCGCGGTTTTTGAGCCGGCCAGCGCAACCAACGCCCGCGCCCTCTTTGAGGATCGCTATATCGAGGCATTCGCCTTGGCCGACGCCTTCGTCGCAACCGCGGTCCCCCGCCCCGAACGCGCCCGAGACGACGAGCCGTTCTCGCCCGAGCGCTTAGTGGAGCGTCTCCGCGCCACCGGCAAGCCGGCGCGCTACCTGCCCGACGCCGAATCGATGGCCGCTTTTTTGGCTGCGGAAGCCCGCCCGGGCGATTTGGTGGTTTTTATGAGCAATGGCGGTTTCGGCGGCCTGCAACAGAAGCTGTGCGCGGCACTCGCCGCCCGAACCAACTGTAGCGACTAGGTGTCAGAACTGTTGCCAGATAGACGCGCTATGCGCGGATGAGATGCCCAGCGAGAATTCTCTACTTACCTATTTTACAATATGTTAGAAAAAGTAAAACCCTAGGGTACGCATATTGCATTAAACGCATGGCACTTGCCATCTCACCCCAACCTGGAGGCTGCCATGCGCCCTTTTATCGCCTTTGTCCTTTTCGCTCTCGCCGCACCGCTCTCGGCCCAAGCCGGCCCGGTCGTCATCTCCGAACTGATGTGGCCGGGTAGTACGGCATCTACTGCCGACGAGTGGATCGAACTCTACAACTCCAGCGACGCAACGGTTGATTTGGCCGGCTGGACCTTGACCTACCGCAGCGGCGACGAGGACAAGGTAATGCTCGTCTTCGACGCCGCTGCGATCCCCGCCGGAGAGACCTTTCTCATCGCCAACTATGCCGCTGATCACCAAAAATCCCTCCTCGCCGTCGAGCCTCAGCGCGTTGACTCAGCCGTTTCGCTGCCCAACACCAAGCTGCTCTTGCATCTGTACGACGGCGACCCGCAAGCTGGAGGCCAGCTCATCGATGTGGCCGACGATGGTCGCGGAGTCCCTTTCGCCGGCGACTCGGCTAACAAGAGCGCCATGGTGCGCATTGCCTTTGACCAGCCCGGCGACCAGCCCGAAAGCTGGGCGACGGCAACTGAACAAAGCGGCTGGGATGCGGGCGCTAGCGAGTTGGGCACGCCGGGATCCATTCCCGCGCACCTGCTCCCGGACGGGGGCGAAGTGCCCGAGCGCGTCATGGGGAACGAACATTTCACCGATGCCTTGGGCCTTGGTAAAAGAGCGTCTATATCCATAGCGCGGATTGCAGAAAAAAAGGCACCTACTTGCGGGTAGGTGCCTTTTTTAATTGTAAAACGAAAGAAAAAGGCCGTGGAAGCTGAGATGCGCTTCGCACGGCCTTTGCGGATGGTGGGCGATCGCAGATTTGAACTGCGGACCTCCGGTATGTGAGACCGGCGCTCTAACCAACTGAGCTAATCGCCCAAAAGCATTTTTAAATTAGCCTCCCACGGCTACTGAGTCAATGTCCGTTGTGCCCGGCGGCAAAGTGGAATTTCGGCAGGGCTACTTCAGTCGCCGAGGGGTGGCCCTCGCGCAGGCGGTACGCTCGGTCGAGCTTCAGCCCCTGCCAGCGCTGCGTCTGATGAGTCGCCGGCCAGGTGATTTCTACAAATTCCAATTCCGTCGCGTCCCCCAGCCCGAGGTGCGGCGCGAGCGGGTTGGCTCCAAAGCTGCCGCCCGAGCCGATGAGGTGGTGGATGTCGCGGATGCTGCCGTCCGGTCGCTGCACGCGCACGCGCACGCGGCCGCCAATAGCACCTCGGTTCGACTGCACGCCTTGGGGAAACAGCCGCAGCCAGCGATTGCCGTGCCCGGGATTTTCGTAGAGCACATTCTGGTAGAGGTCGCCTTCAAAGGCACCGCCCATGACCTCGAAGACGTCTTGGTCTCCATCGTTGTCGAAGTCTGCAAAGGACACGCCGTGTCCTTTCTGCACGTTGCCGAAGCCGCCTGTTGTGGTGACGTCCAAAAACCGCCCTCCCCGTCGTTGCGCACATGCGGTTGGGCGTGAGCGAGCGCAGATCGGGAATCCCGGTGCCCACGTAGCAGTCGGGGAAACCCATCGCTGTCCAAGTCGCCGTAGTTGGCGCCCATAGCTAGGATGACTTGCCCAAAGCTCCCGAGCGATTCGGTGACCTCGGTGAAGGTGCCGTCGCCGTCGTTGCGGTACACATGTGCGTGATCGGCGGTAAATTCCTCGCCGAGATACGCGCGTGCCATGTCGCCGAGATCGTCCATGTTGTAGCCACCGGCAAACAAATCGAGCCAGCCGTCGTTGTCGTAGTCCCAAAACCAAGTGGGAAAGCTCTCAGTCGGCCCCGGCGCGACGACCGTCGCCGCAAAGCGCCAGCCCGTCTGGTGTGTCGCCGAGGTTGCGGTAGAGGACATTTTCTCGCTGTAGAACTGAGACACGTACAGGTCGATCAAACCGTCGTTGTCTATATCACCCCAAGCAACTCCCTTCACAAAGCCCACGTGATCGACGCCGACCGCGGGAGCCACATCGACAAAACGGCCGTCTCCTTGGTTGCGAAACAACTGGCATGGGTGGGGTCGCTTACCGGATTCATTGCCGACGCAACAGATCCAACCAGCCGTCGTTGTCGTAATCGGCAAAGGCCGCTGCGTGGGTCGGGTGCAAGGTGAACAAGCCAGCGCGCCGCGTCACATCCGCAAAAGTGCCGTCGCCGTTGTTGCGCAACAGGGAGTTGGGCATGCGGCCCTCTTCCCCCATCCAGGCACCGCGCAAAACGAGCAGATCGACATCGCCGTCGTTGTCGTAGTCGGCCTGCTCTAGGTTGATCCCCCGATTTGCCCGCTTAGCCCGGCCGCTGTCGTGGCCTCGGTAAAGGTGCCGTCGCCCTCGTTGTGGAAAGTAGCGCAGGGGATCGCGCAGCCCCCACGAGGAGACCGCGATATCCAGCAGGCCGTCGCCGTCGAAGTCCTCGACCGCGCTGCCGCCCGCTAGGCCCACGGCCGCGACGCCAGCCGCCGGTGCCACGTCGCGGAAACGCTGGATCCCGCCGCTGTCGCCGTCGAATACGCGCGGGGGAATGCGCCAGGATTCTGGCACCCCTTCCGGGTATTCGCCCAAGGTCATGTACGCCAAGTTCAGCAGCCAGCGCGTCCCCAGATCGCTTGGGCGCTTGTTCAGTTTATGGTGTAGTGCTCGATGGCGCGGCGGGAGCCTTCCTGCAAGGTGTGGACGCCGTCGTCGCGGATCGGCAGCAAGCAGGAATTCGTGGTGTGGTTGCGCAGGCAGTTCTCCTGCTCTCCGAGGCGCAGATAGGCGATGGCGAGCTGGTCGTGCAGCCCATAGACGAAGCCCTCGGTCGCCGGTACCTGCCCGGCCTCTACGGCCGCTAGAACGCGTTGCATCTCTTCGATACCCGCGCGCAAATCTCCGGCTCGCACCCGCTCTTGGGCAATCCGCAGGCGCATATTCAGCCGCTTGCCCGCGCTCATCGGTTGCCCAGCAGGGAACTAAGGCCCTCCGCGCGGGCTTGGTTGAGATAGATGTTGGCAATGGGATCGGCCCGCTGGGCAAGGCGCGCCAGCACCGTCGCCATAAAACGCGAATCCCCGCGATCGACGCCGGCGTCCACCTGCCCCAAGACGGCTGTGGCCCATAGAAGGATGGCTATAACGCTCTGCATAATAAAAAACGGCTACAAAAATTGGCTGCCCCAATCCTCGTAACCGCGCATATCGCAAAAGTAATGGTGGGCCCAGTAGGACTCGAACCTACGACCGACGGATTATGAGTCCGCTGCTCTAACCAACTGAGCTATAGGCCCATTAAGGTTAGCTAAAAACCTAGGATTTTTCCCAAGTAGGTCAAGAGCTTTGTTGGGCAGCGACCGCTTGACGCTCTTGATTGAGCGCGACGAGTTCGGCGCTGATGCGCGCAATTTCGCTGTCGTCGGATGCCTCGGCGAGGGCTTGACGCGCGTTGGAGACGCGCTTGTCCAGCGCATTTTTCTGAAAGTAAAGCAAATAGTCGCGCCATTGCCGCTCGACTTGTTCCTCGTCGGAACCTTGGGCCGCGCACTGGGCGGCTAGGCGTCGCGAGTGCGTCGTCCTCTAGCCCGCTGATGATCATTCCAAGATCGATGGCTTTGCCTTGGGCATGGCGGTCGAAGAGCGTGCGACACAGGGCCTGAGTGCGGGCGTCGGCCAGCGCATCTAGAGCTAATTCCCTGCGCAGTAGCGGGTATGAACTGCGGGAAGTTGAACAACAGCCCTGAATTCGAGTTCGTGACGCGGCGGTCGGGCGCGGCCGTTGGAGGCGGCTCGGCAGGTGCCTTGCGAGAGGCGGGACGGCGGTTCACTGAGGCTTGCAACTCATGGCGCAGGGCCTGTTCGTCAACCGCGAGGCGCTGGGCGACTTCTCTCAGTAGTAGGTCGCAGCGGACCGCATCTTGGGGTTTGTTCAGCTTGGCTATGAGCGGTTTGAACGTTTCTACGGCGCGGTCCTGCCCTCGATGCTGGAGAGGTCGTGTCTGCTGGGCGAGTTGTTCGAGGTAGAAATCGAGAACCGACTGGGCATTTTCGGCCCGCTCTATCAGCGCCTCGGGACCGTGCGCTTGGACGAAAGTATCAGGGTCGTGCTCGGCAGGCAGCGAGACGACGCGGGCGTCTAGGCCTGTACCTAGGAGTACTTCAAGAGCGCGCATGGCGGCCGTGGACCCGGCCGCGTCGCCGTCAAAAAGCAACACGACTTGGCGGGCAAAGCGAGCCAACAGGCGACCGTGGTCCTCGGTCAGGGCCGTGCCAGAGGTGGCGACTACGTGCTGGATGCCGGCTTGCGCTAGACTGATGAGGTCCATGTAGCCTTCGACCACCAGAGCACGGGCTCCTGGCTGCGAATGTCGTCGCGGTGTCGGACAGGCCGATAGAGCACTCGGCCCTTGTGATAGATGGGCGTTTCGGGCGAGTTCAGGTATTTAGGCTCTTGGTCGGGCTGGAGGGCGCGCGCGGCACCAAAGGCGATGGTGCGATTGGAGAGATTGGCGATGGGAAAGGTGATCCGGTCGCGAAAGCGGTCGTAGTGGCCGCTGCGCTTTTTTGTGGCAGGGCTAGCCCGGCTCGCTCCACGATCTGAGGATTCAAGCTCGGCGACCGGCTCACGTGAGCAAGGCGTCCCACTTGGCCGGGGCGATAGCCCAAGCCGAAGCGCTCGATGGTTTCGCCTGTGAGCCGCGGGTCTGTAGATACGTGCGGGCGCTAGCGCCGACATTGTCGTTAAGCAACAGATGGTGAAAGTACTTTTGCGCTAGGTCGTTGGCTCGGTAGAGTTCGTCGGCGGCCGCAGTCTTCCTCGCGCGATGGCCCCGAACGCTCGGGCAGGGCGACGCCGGCGCGCTCGGCGAGGAATTTGACCGCTTCGACAAAAGTGACGCGGTCGATCTCTTGGATAAACTTGAATGCATTGCCCCCGACGCCACAGCCGAAGCAGTGGTAGATCTGGCGGTCGGGGTCGACGCTGAAAGAGGGGGATTTTTCGTCGTGAAAGGGGCAGACGCCGAAAAAGTTACGGCCCCTCTTGGTGAGCTGGACGTGCTCGGAGACCAAGTCGACGATGTCGGTGGCGTCGCGGATGCGTTGGAGGATGTCTTCGGGGACGAGTGGCATTGCTAGTAGGCCCTTTTTTCTCTATATTATCAGCGCCTTTGAGCAAGATATGGCAGCCCATTAACTGGGTCAAGAAAGTGCAATTAGCGACGCTAATTTGCGTTAATTCCTTGAGTTTGTAGCGAACTGTTGGTATTATTGATAAATTAAACGTTTATTCATGGCCTATGCTGGGGCCAAATCAGAATTTGACCCATTGAGCATTAAGAGGAGGAGATCAGATATGTCGAAAGGCATAAAGGGAGCTATCGCGAGTTTGGCCTTGTTGGGACTCGGCGTTTTTCTGTGTGCGAGTCCGGCGGCAGCGCAGTTGGCGGTCTCTGGGGATGTAGCGGATACAGACGATCTTGCCCCCAGTCCTGTCGGCGAAGTACAGGCTGGGTTCAACGAAGGCGGAAGGAGTATCACTATCTCTTGGACCTTGTCTGGCGACGACGTCACGCGCCAGACTCCGACGAGTAGCGACTTTACGACGGGCGGCACCTTTGCCAACGTCAACGATGTCGCTGGTTACAATATATGGCGTCGTCTCGCCGATGACTCTGACGGCAACTTGGCAATAGTCGGCACCGTTGGTGCCGGCGTGACGTCCTTAGTTGATGCCTCGATCAACGTGAGCGCGGGGAGCAGGCGGTATTTCTACATGGTCTCGGTCGTCGATCCTAGCGGCAACGAGAGCGCTCCCATCGAGTCCGCTGAAGTCAGGAACATGTTGCTCCTCGGCGACTTTGACTACGATGGCGATGTGGACCTTTTAGACTACGGCATTTTCCAAGCCAACTTTGGCCGAGCCGAATTCAATCCTGCCACAGATATCGACGGCAACGGCGTGGTTGACCTCGAGGACTTTTTCCTTTGGGCCGACAACCTAGGTGCCAATTTGTACTAGGTGCCGGCCTCAAGCTAGCTATGTATTCCATCCTTTTACAAGGAGTATAGTTCGATGAAAGAGTATATCCGCATCGTCGCGCTAGCCGCGTTTTGCGCTGTTCCCGCGGCCGCTCAGTTGGCTACCTCTGGGCCCGTAGCTTCCGTCGATAATATTCCTCCTGCACCTGCGACCAACCTACAAGCCACATCCGGCGATGATCTATCCGTATCGGTCTCTTGGACGCTATCAACAGATGACGCTCGTTCGTTCACGACCTTTGGTGACCAGGTGGTCCCCACGGGCGATGTACACGGCTATCGCGTGTACCGGACGGATTTCTTCCCGCCCGTGGACGATAGCGGCGAGGTAGTGCTCGGCTGGTTTACGCGCGAGGGGGACAGAGTTGACTTCGACGACTTCTTCCTCTTAGCCGATCACTTCGGCTCTTCTAACGCCGATGCGGATTTTGCCTTGTTCTTCGATATAGTGCCCAATGGCCAAATTGATGTCGATGATTTTTTTCGTTTCGCCGATGATTTCGGCAAGGCTGTAACTCAGGAACAGGGCAGTGAAAGGTTGATCGCCACCCTGGGGCCGGGTGTCTCCGAATTCGTCGACAGTGATGTCGTCAGTGGAGCCTCCTATGCCTATGACGTGAGGGCCTTTGACGGAGACAACGAATCTGGCGTTGTCGCACCTTTTGCTTCCAATGAAGATGTAGCTCGGACGGCGATGACCGTCGGTGTCGATCAATAAAGGCACGTCAAGCTGCAGAGGATAGGACGCCCACTCGACGAGTGAGCGTCCTATCTTTTTGTAGTACTCCTTGACAAACAAAGAAGTTATCTGTATTCTTTAATCTCTTTCGCACCTCTCCTATTCAAAGCAAATACCTCGGCGGTTTATTCCGCTTGACCACTTTAAATTCCACGCTCCCTTTAGATATTATCTCGCGATAGACCTCCTGTAGCGATTAAAGAATTTTGCCGAGGTACTGCATACCTAGGTTTTAGTGTTTTAGCGGTACTACCGCTTTTAACAACCCAACCCTCCAATAAGGCCCTAAGGCGCTTTTAGTGCCGCATCGCACCTAATATCCGCTTCGAGTCCCTGCACTTTAACCGCAAGAAAGGTCGCAAGGAAGAGATGCCGCCTGTCAATAGAACGCAGAAGATGAATATCGTCGAGCTCCAGCGCATGAACATCCTGGATCTCCAAGAGCTGGCCAAGGAATTGGAAGTTGTAGATTGCATTTCTCTGCGCAAGCAGGAGCTGATTTTCTCCATCCTCAAGCACCAGACCGAGCGCAGTGGGCTGATCTTTGCCCAAGGCACTTTGGAGGTGCTGGAAGAGGGATTTGGCTTTCTCCGCTCGCCGAGCTACAACTACTTGCCTGGCCCCGACGACATTTACGTTTCCCACTCGCAGATTAAGCGATTCAGTCTGCGCACGGGCGATACGATTTCCGGCCAGATCCGCCCACCAAAAAACGACGAGAAGTACTTTGCGCTGCTGCGAGTCGAGGCGATCAACTTCGACGATCCAGAAGTCACCAAGAGCAAGACGATCTTCGAGAACCTGACGGCCTTGCATCCCACGGATCGCTTCAAGTTAGAGCACCATCCCAAGGATATGACGACGCGGATTCTCGACTTGCTCTCGCCCATCGGCAAGGGGCAGCGCGGCCTAATCGTCGCGCCGCCCTTCACCGGCAAGACCATGCTGCTGCAAAAGGTCGCCAACGCCATTACCACCAACCACCCCGAAGCGATTCTCATCGTCTTGCTCATCGACGAGCGCCCCGAGGAAGTCACCGACATGCTGCGTTCGGTTCAGGGCGAAGTCGTCAGTTCGACCTTTGACGAGTCGGCTACGCGGCACGTGCAGGTGGCGGATATGGTGATCGAAAAGGCTCGGCGTCTGGTCGAGCACAAGCGGGATGTGGTCGTCCTGCTCGACAGCATCACGCGCTTGGCACGGGCCTACAATACGGTGACGCCGCACTCGGGTCGGATTCTCTCCGGCGGTGTTGACTCGACGGCTTTGCAGTGGCCGCGGCGCTTTTTCGCCGCCGCCCGCAATCTCGAAGAAGGCGGCAGCCTGACGATTATCGCCACGGCCCTAATCGAGACCGGGAGTCGCATGGACGAAGTGATCTTTGAAGAGTTCAAAGGCACGGGCAATATGCAGGTGCAGCTAGACCGCCGGCTGAGCAACCGCCGCGTCTATCCGGCCGTTGACGTGACGGCGACGAGCACCCGCAAAGAAGAGCTACTGCTCACGGAGTTTGAGTTGAACCGCTCGTGGGTACTGCGCCGCATCCTCAATCAGATGGGAGTCATTGAGGGCATGGAGTTCCTCCAAGAGCGCATGCTGGGCACGGAATCCAACGAGGAATTTCTCAAGGCCATGAACGACTAGTCGCCTTGTTTTTTGAGCGTCAAGCCTCTATTTTTATTGACTCAGTAGCCGAGTTTCACCGCCAAGAAAACAGAGGAGTGCAAAGGTGCAAAAAGACACGCATCCCCCGTATCAAACGGTTATTTTTCTCGACACTAGCTGTGACTACAAGATACTGTCGCGTTCGACGATGAAGTCCGAAGAGACGATGGAGTGGGAAGACGGGAATTCCTATCCGGTGATCCGGGTCGAAATCAGCTCGGCTTCGCATCCTTTCTACACCGGCAAGCGCCAGCAGATCATGGATCGAGGCGGACGCATCGACCAGTTCAACCGCCGCTACGGCAAGAGCGAACCGCAAGCCTAGCGATCCATTCCGTGCAAAGAGGTGATAGGACGTCCTCCCGAGGGCGATCGTATCGCCTTTTTCGTGTACGCGAGTCCATGGACAGAGAACAACTCACGCAAGATCTACCCGTCGGCGGCCAGGCCGTCATCGAAGGGGTGATGATGCGCGTGCCCGGCAAAATTGTCACCGCGGTGCGGGCGGCTGACCACCGGATCGTGGTGCGCGAGGAAGCGTACGATCCTCTAGCGCAGCGCTATCGCCTATTGGGTCTGCCCGTATTGCGCGGTGCCCTCTCCTTTTTTGAAATGATGCTCATCGGGCTGAAGGCCCTCAATTTCTCAGCCGATGTCGCCAGCCAGAAAGAGGGGCAGGTCGAGCAGCGGGAGGAGGGTTGGCGGGAGCAATTGGCCCTGTGGGCGACGATGGTCTTTTCCGTGGGCCTAGGCGTGGGCCTGTTCTTCTTTTTGCCGCTGCTGGCCGCCCAGCTCTTCGGCTTGCAGGAGAACGCCCTCGAATTCAATCTAGTGGCCGGTGCCGTGCGGGCGACGCTTTTGATCCTCTACCTTTGGGCGATAAGCCAGTGGCGCGAAATCCAGCGAGTTTTTCAATATCACGGTGCCGAGCACAAAAGCATCTTCACCGTAGAAGCCGGTGCCGAGCTGACGGTGGCAGCGGCGCGGGGCTTCGGCCGGCTGCACCCGCGCTGCGGAACTAGCTTCATGCTGATCGTCGTGCTCTTTGCGATCCTGATCTTCGCCGTCGTGGATTCGCTGTTCCCGCTCGTCTTTGGGCACACGCAGAGCCTTCTTGAGCGCTTTGCCACTCATTTTGCGGTGCTGCCCTTTATCGCGGGGACGAGCTTTGAGTTGCTCAAGTTCTCGGGCAAGAAACGCAATGCTCCGCTGGTCCGGTTGTTGAGTGCCCCAGGGCTGTGGTTACAGCGCATTACGACCCGCGAGCCGGACGACGACCAGCTAGAGGTCGCCTTGTTCGCGCTGCGCCGCGCCCTAAATGAAGAAGTCGAGGCCAATCCATCGTGTTAGATAAATTGAACGGATACGAGCAGCGCTACGAGGAACTGGGCGCGCTTATGGCCGATCTGGCCACCAGCCAAAACCCGGCTCAGTACCAGAAGCTGGCGCGGGAGATGGGCGACTTGCAGGAAGTGGTGGATTTAGCGAGCCAGTACCGCGCCGCACTCACACAACTCGAAGAGGCCGAGGAAATCATCGCCGATGGCAGCGATGCAGAACTAGTCGAATTGGCCGCGGCCGAACGCGACCAACTGCGGGGACAGGTGGCGCAACTAGAAGAAACGCTCAAAGTGCTGCTGATTCCCAAAGACCCCAACGACGGTCGCAACGCCATCGTCGAGATCCGCGCCGGCACCGGCGGCGACGAAGCCGGGCTTTTCGCCAGTGATCTATACCGCATGTATCACCGCTTCGCCGAGCGCAAAGGCTTGAAAACCGAGGAGCTTTCCTCTAGTCAGAATCCGGCCGGCGGCTTTAAGGAGGTGGTGTTCGCGGTCTCGGGCGCGGACGCCTTCGGCCAGCTCAAGTTCGAAAGCGGGGTGCATCGCGTGCAGCGGGTTCCCAAAACCGAAGCCTCGGGCCGGATTCACACGTCGGCGGCCTCGGTGGCGGTCTTGCCCGAAGCCAAGGAGGTGGAAGTGGAAATCGCTCCTGAGGATTTGAAAATCGAAGTGTACCGCTCCAGCGGCCCTGGTGGCCAGAGCGTCAACACCACGGATTCGGCCGTGAAAATCACCCATATCCCAACGGGCATTATCGTCTCCTGTCAAGACGAGAAGTCGCAGCTAAAGAACAAGAACAAGGCCTTGAAGGTCCTCCGCGCCCGGCTCTACGATAAAGTGCAGGCCGAGCAAAAGGCCGAGCGCGACGCCGCCCGCGCCGGCCAGATCGGCTCCGGCGACCGCAGCACGAAAATTCGCACCTACAACTTCCCCCAGGGCCGGGTCACCGACCACCGCATCGGCTTGTCCCTCTATCGCCTAGAGGAAATCCTCGACGGTGATTTTGAAAAATTCGTAGAGCAATTGGCCCTCGCATCTCAGCAGGACGCGCTCGCGGCAGACCTATGAGCGGGCGCTCTTGGCGGCTGCTCGACATCCTCGAAAACACGAGTCGTTTCTTCGCGTCAAAGGGGTTGGAAAACGCCCGCCTCCAAGCAGAGTTGCTGCTCGCCGCGGTGCTCGGTGTCAAACGCCTTGATCTCTACTTGCAATTTGAACGCCCCTTGCACCGCAGTGAAGTGGATCGCTACCGAGAATACGTGCGCCAGCGGTTGCAGCACGTGCCCGTGCAGTACATCACGGGTGTGGCCGCCTTTCGCCATCTAGAACTGGCCGTGACGCCCGTGGTGTTGATCCCGCGCCCCGAGACCGAAGTGCTCGTCGATGCGGCCTTGGAGTTTTTGCCCGAAGACGGCCGGGTCCTCGACCTGTGTTGCGGCTCGGGCGCGGTCGCCCTGTCGCTGGCCCAAGAGGCGGCAGCGGCCGAGGTAGTGGCAGCCGACGTATCGGACGCTGCTTTAGAAGTAGCAAAGGCCAACGGCCAGCGCTGCGGGCTAGCAGAGCGCGTCGAGTGGCACTGCGGCGATCTTTTCGCGCCCCTTTGCGGTACCGAGCCTTTTGACCTCGTCGTGGCCAATCCGCCGTATGTGCGCCGCGATGACTTGGCACAACTAGCGCCGGAAGTTCGCGACCACGAACCTCATCTCGCGCTAGATGGGGGCGAGGACGGCTTGGTGTACTACCGCCGCATCGCGCAGGAGGCCGCTGACTTTATTCGCCCCGGAGGCTATCTACTTCTAGAGGTAGGAGACGGCCAAAGCGCGGCCGTGGAGGACCTACTTGCGCAGTCTGAACGCTTGACAGAGGTTCAGATAAGACCGGACTTAAACCAAATCCCCCGAGTCGTTATCGCGCGTACGGCTGCTTAGACGAGTTGAGGGCCATGGCCAAAAAGAACCGTCTCTGCTTACGTCTGTCAGTCCTGCGGCCATAGTGCCGCGCGCTGGTTTGGGCGCTGTGCGGCCTGCGGCGAGTGGAACACCTGCGTCGAAGAGCGGCCCCAAGCACCCGACAGTCGGCGCGAACATCTAACGGTATCACCCCGCGCCCAATTGCAGCCCATCACTCAAGTCGATGACCAAGACCACGAGCGGCTGCAAATCGGCATCTCCGAGTTCGACCGGGTCTTAGGTGGCGGCATCATGCCCGGTTCGGTCGTCTTAGTCGGCGGCGATCCAGGCATCGGCAAATCGACGCTTCTGTTGCAGATGGCCGGACAGCTAGCGGCTTCTGATTTTCGCATCGCGTACATTTCCGCCGAGGAATCGCCCGCGCAGATCCGCCTGCGCGCCGGGCGCTTGGGAGCGTTGTGCGAAAGCCTGCACGTGATGGCCGAGACCAGTCTCGCGGCCATTCTCGACCAGTTGCGATCCGCTAGCCCGCTGGCTGTCGTCATCGACTCGATCCAGACCATTTACATGCCCGAGTTGGAGAGCGCGCCCGGCAGCGTGACCCAAGTGCGCGAGTGCGCTGCGCGGCTCGTTTATTTGGCCAAAGAGAGCGGCATTCCCACGTTTTTGGTGGGACACGTGACGAAAGAGGGCACGGTCGCCGGGCCACGGGTGCTGGAGCACTTGGTCGATACCGTGCTCTATTTAGAGGGCGAGCGGCACCACCACTTCCGCATCCTTCGCGCCGCCAAAAATCGCTTTGGTTCAACCAACGAGATCGGCATTTTTGAGATGCGGGACCAAGGGCTCATCGAGGTCTCCAATCCCTCCAAGCTTCTGCTGGCCGAGCGCGCCGAAGGCGTGTCGGGTTCGGCCATCGTCTGTAGCATGGAGGGCACGCGGCCGCTCTTGATCGAAATTCAGGCCCTCGTCTCGCGCTCTAGTTTTGGCTATCCGCAGCGGGTCGCGACCGGCATAGACGCCAAGCGGCTCTCGATTATTATCGCGGTGCTCGAAAAGCGCTGCGGCCACGACCTGTCGAGCGAGGACATTTTCGTCAATGTCGTAGGGGGCATCCGCCTCGACGAGCCAGCGGTGGATATGGGGGTGGGGCTGGCGATTATCTCGAGCTTCCGCAACAAGCCCATTGACGCGAAGACCGTGGCCATTGGCGAGGTCGGGTTGGGGGGGGAGATCCGGCCGGTGAACCAGATTGACCGGCGGGTGGCCGAGGCGCGGAGTTTGGGGTTTGAGCAGTGTTTGGTGGCGCGGAGCAACTTGCAGGGGTGGAAGCGACCGGAGGGGATGGAGGTGGTTGGGGTAGGGGGAATGGAGGCGGTCGAAGCGCTCGCATTTGGCTCAAGCTAGTCCCTTTTCTTCACAGAGCTGTTCCTCGCAGGTCCCAATTTTGGTTTCCGCAGCATCCTTCTTCTTTTCCTAACATATTATTAAACAATAAATTGTGTGTATTCTTGCCGCTTGGCACGGCATTTGTTATAAATGGGTAGGGCAGTTTAATCTGCTTCAATTAAAAAACGCTTGACACCTGAACATTGATTCACTATCTTTTTTGTTCAGGTTGTTCGAGTGGCGGTGTAATAAACATCTCATAGGACACGCGAGGAGGAAATCATGGTAGCGGGCAAAGGCAGGGCCAGTGCTAACGGCAAGCCCTTCGGCGAGGATAAGGACAAGGCCATCGGCTTGGCGCTCGCTCAGATCGAACGGCAGTTTGGCAAAGGGGCCATCATGCGGTTAGGCGAGTCAGCGGCAATGGACATCGAAGTCATTTCCACGGGTGCCATTTCGCTAGACGCGGCCCTTGGGGTCGGCGGGGTGCCCAAAGGCCGGGTCGTCGAGCTTTTCGGGCCTGAAGCCGCGGGTAAGACCATGCTGGCGCTGCACATCGTCTCCCAGGCGCAACAAACCGGCACGGCAGCTTTCATCGACGCCGAACACGCGCTCGACGTGAATTTCGCTCGTCGGTTGGGCGTTGATATCGACAATTTGCTCGTCTCGCAGCCGGATTCGGGCGAAGAAGCCCTAGAGATCACGGATACCCTAGTGCGCAGCGGTGCCCTCGACTTGGTCGTGATCGATTCGGTGGCAGCGCTGGTGCCCAAGGCCGAGCTCGAAGGCGATATGGGTGACTCCCACGTAGGGTTGCAAGCACGGCTGATGTCCCAAGCCCTGCGCAAGCTCACCGGGTCGTCTCAGAAGTCCGGGACCACGGTGATCTTTATCAACCAGTTGCGGATGAAGATCGGCGTGATGTTCGGCAGTCCCGAGACCACCACCGGCGGTCGTGCCCTAAACTTCTATTCCTCGGTTCGCCTCGACATCCGCGGCATTGGCTCGATCAAGGACGGCGACGAGATCATCGGCCGTCGCACCCGCGTCAAGGTCGTCAAGAACAAGGTCGCTCCTCCTTTCCGCGAGGCCGAGTTCGACGTCATGTTCCGCGGCGACGACGTAGGCATATCGCGCGAGGCCGATCTGCTCGACTTGGGTGTCGACAGAGGTTTTGTGGCCAAAAGCGGCACTTGGTTTTCCTACGGTGACGAACGGCTGGGCCAGGGGCGCGAGAACGCGCGCGTCTTCCTCCGCGACAACCACGAAGTCCGCATGCGCCTAGAGACCGAGGTGCGCCAAGCCCTCAACATGAAGGTCGCAGAAGTGCCTGAACACAAAGAAGCAGAGGTCGAACTAGCCTAGCCTCTGCGCTCTCGCGGGTCGAGGTGCCAAGGCTGCTCTGGTGACCCCACGCCAAGGCGGCCGCAGCGCCTCGCACCCGCGCGTACTCCTTAACTCCCCCAAGGAGGTGAAATCATGCAGACTGCCAGACTAAACCCCACGGCCATCCCCTTGCAAGCACGCATTGGCCGTGCCCGCTCTTGGGCCGACTTGGCGTTGCTGTGCGAGCACATCGACGACGCCTACCAGCGCGGCGAACTCGACCTGTCCAGCGCCGACGAGCTAAGTGCCTTGGTGGCGGCTGCCGCCCTGAAGGTGCCCGAGCAACCCAGCATCCCCGCCGAGGCACTCTTAGATCCGGCACCGGAAATGCTGCACAACACTCGGCAAGCCGCCTGACCGAGCCGCGATACAGCCCGCCTTTAGGGCCGGCCAACAAGGGCACCGGAGTTTTTGCTCCGGTGCCTTTTGTTTGCAAAAAATAGTCCATGCCGTATAATCAAAGGCATGCCCCGCAGTCCGTTGGAAATTCCCGCCTTAAGAGTGCTAATCGAGCGCCAGCAAGTAGAGCGGCGCATCGGCGAGTTGGCCCAGCTACTAGCCGCCGACTACGCTGGGGCGGCTCCTTTGTTTGTCGGCCTCCTCAACGGAGCCGTGCAGTTTATGATGGCTCTAATGGACCGCTTGCCCGAGGAGCTGTTGGCGCGATTGGACTACGACTTTGTCGGTGTTTCGAGCTACCGAGGTACAGAGAACACTGGGCAGATTGAGCTGACCAAAGACCTCGTCGTCGCGGTGGCCGGGCGGGACGTGTTAGTCGTCGATGGCATCGTCGATACGGGCCGATCGCTAGACTTTGTGCTGGCCATGATGGCGTCGCGGCAGCCCCTTTCGCTCAGAGCATGTACGTTGCTGGACAAACGCGCCCGCAGGGAGTTTCCAGTGCAGATAGATTATTGTGGTTTTGAAATTGAAGACACGTTCGTCGTCGGCTACGGCATGGATTGCGACCAGCGCTACCGCGCCCTACGCCACATTGCCGCCATCGGATGAGATAGAGGAGAAGAGGAGCTATGGCCCCCAAGAAAGTCTTAATTACCGGCGTTTACGGATTAATCGCCGGGGCTGTGTATCGGCATCTGCGCACCCAACCCGACCGCTATGATGTCTATGGCCTAGCGCGGCGGTCTCAGCTTTCGGAGCGGACTCCCAGAAACGCAGAGTTGGAAATTCCCGCAGAGAAATTCACCCTCGCAGACCTGACCGACTACAACGCGATAGCAAAGGCCGTCGAGGGTATGGACGTGGTCGTGCAACTGGCAGCCGACCCGCGGCCAGACGCTAGCTGGGAGAGCCTGCTCGGCAGCAATATCGTCGGGCCGCGCAATGTGCTGGAGGCCGCGTGCCGCGCTGGCGTCAGGAGAGTGGTCTTCGCCAGCTCGATCATGGTGTCTTGGGGCTACCAGCAGGAGGACCCGTACAAAGCAATCTCCGAAGGGCGCTTCGACGCGGTCAATGCCGGTCAGGTACAGGCCGTGACCCACGAGTGGCCGCATCGGCCGACTGGCCTCTATCCGGCGACCAAAATTTGGGGCGAGGCCCTAGCGCGCTACTACGTCGACGTACATAATATGTCGGTGCCCTGTTTGCGCATCGGCTGGGTCAATGCCGAGGACCATCCGCGCGACGAGCGGGGCGGGGCTATCTGGTGCAGCCAGCGCGACGTGGTACAACTCGTGCAGCGCGCCATCGAAGCGTCCGCGGACTTGCGCTTTGATATTTTTTACGGAGTGTCCAACAACCGCTGGCGCTGGGTCGATATTGACCACCCACGCGAGGTCTTGGGCTATATCCCAGCAGACAGCGCCGAAGAGAAGCTGGGACTGGCCTGACCCAATGGGCCAAGAGCCTAAGACCAAGACGGACCTATTGTCCGTCAAGCTCTTCTTTGTCGTCCTAGGGGCTATTGCCGCCTACAATGTCGTCAATTGGGTGCGCAGCGAGCCGGAATGGGAAGAACGGAGCTATGAGCCGGGGGCCTTCACAGTGCAGGTGGCTGGCCGGCCCAATCTGCGCAAGCTGCGCGAGCCGTTGTCCTTTGGCGAGGTAGAGTTCCAATACCTGATGTTCGAGCGCGCCGACGTGCAATACGCCGTTGCCTACGGAGACGTGCCCGAGACCGTCCCAGCCGATAGCGCGATTGCCGCGCGCCGCGATGCCATCTTGCGGAAGGTGAAGGGGACGATCCTGTCGGAAGACGCCGTTGAGATGGACGGGCATTCCGCTTGGCAGACGCAGATACAAGCGGAGGACGAAAGCCTCCTGAGATTGCAGTGCCTACAGGTGGGCCAACGGCTCTATAGCTTGATGGCGGTCGGAGCACCCTACGCGTTTGACGACCCCTCGGATATCGAGCGGTTTTTCGCGTCCTTCAGGCTCGTCAAGCCCTGATGATAAGGAATGCCAATTGAAGCTACTCAAAGAGCTATGCGAAAGTGCGGGGGTTCCCGGCCGAGAGGATCGGCTGCGCGAGATCGTGCGGCGGGAGCGAAGCGACCGGAGCACACACCCCGTGTTAGCCGGCGTCGCCTCATGTTCCGGAAGAGTCCACGCCCCATAATCGACGAGCAAGTGGAAAGAACATCCTTTGAAGTAATCCGATCGCATCTTTTGCCTCTTCCGAGACGTCACCTTGACCAAGCTGGGGTGCTTGGATCTTCATCGCCTGTTGGACAAAGTCCTGATTAGAAGTGGTTTCATAACTTGATAGGGAGTTAGGTTTTTTCTTTTTTGCGGTCTTCTATTTTTTTGACCAGGAGTCCTGCCATGTCCCGCCATAGTTCCGAACTGACGGATACCCAATGGTCGCATATTGCTCCGCTGCTACCGAAACCCCAAGCCTCCGCCAACGGGGGTCCCAAACCGATTCCCAACCGCCCGGTGTTTGAAGGCATTTTGTGGGTGCTCCGTAGTGGCGCGCGCTGGAAAGATCTGCCTGAGCAATACCCCTCGCCCAGTACGTGCTGGCGTCGGCTGCGCGCTTGGGAAGCCGACGGGATCTGGCTAAAGGCGTGGCGGGCCTTGCTGCGACAACTCGATGCGCAAGGCCAACTCGACTGGGCCGAAACCTTCGCCGACGGTAGTTTTGCCCCGGCCAAAAAAGGGGGCATTGTGTCGGCAAAACCCCCCGTGGAAAGGGTACGAAGTGGATGGTGGTGGTCGACGGCCAAGGTCTTCCTCTGGGAAACTACCTGGACTCGGCGTCCTGTGCAGAAGTCACGTTGATTGAGCCAACGCTGGAGCGGGTGGCGATCCCTCGACCCGGTCGCGGTCGGCCGCGGAAAAATCCGCGTCGGTTGATCTACGACAAAGCCGCCGATTCGGATCCGCTACGGACTCGATTGGCGCGACGCGGGATTGAGTTGATCTGTCCCCATCGGAAAAATCGAAAGAAACCGCCGACGCAAGATGGACGACCATTGCGCCGCTACAAGAGACGATGGAAAGTCGAACGCACCTTCTCGTGGTGGGGCAATTTTCGACGGCTAGTGGTCCGATGGGAGTATCATATTCAGATGTATCAAGCCTTTGTCAATGTCGCCTGTCTGGTGATCGTACTCAGACAGTTATGAAACCGCTTCGAGACAACCTCTTATAGAGTTCTATGAGCTTTACAGCGTGCGGTACGACGTTTCGGAAATCGAGACTAGTTCCCAATTCCTGTTCTCTCGGTAGGTTCTCGACATCGAAGTCTTGTATCCTCGACAATGATTTCTTCGCATTTTCCGTTGATTCAGACATATTGCCTCCATGACTTTTAGCTCTAAAGAGTCGCTCCTGCGCTTAATGTCTTGCGGCTCTGTGAATATAGGCGTCGGTGGGATTGAGCTTGTTGAGTGGCCCAAGATAGCCAGTTGAAAAATCAGTCGCAGATATAGGTATAACAAAGGCCCTTTGGGGATTCTCTGTCACCGTCAAGGTGCTGAGTGTACGCAAAGATGCTCCCGTATGAGCCAGAAACAGGTCCATGCCCGTGGTGCCCAGTCCGGTGACCATCTCCACTCAGTGGTCAGTCTGGGTGTCTCCATAAATGTAAATGTAGGTCTATTATCGTCTAGCCGTAGGGAAATATCGCGGCATCTGCTGGCTGGGCTAGACGGGTGCCTTATTTTTATATTCCTATACCAAAGCCAAAAAGAAAAGGTGATCCGCAGTCGGGCGGCATCGAACAGGAAAAGGGTCAGATGGAAGAGAACTTCGTCGACATTGTTGGTTACCAGCTTGAGAAGATCCATACTGGGATGATCGCATGGTTACTCGATAGTAAGCGTTCTCCTTTGCCACTTGTTGAGCAAACCGAGGTCATTGCAAAGCTTGCACCTGACGTTCTACCGGAGATGAAAGTCACGGAGGTGAAGTCTATACGGGAATACTCATTTGGTCGGCAACTTCGCATAGACCTTGTCTTGGAGCTGAACCGAGAGGATCGGACAAAGACTTATCTTTTAATTGAGTGCAAGACTGATTCAGATGTGAGCGTTGACCAGCTCACAAAGAGTGCTGAGGCATTCTCTGTAAAAAAGCCGGACGTTCCCTTTTCGGTCATAGTCCTCGCAGTTGGCGCAGGTCAGTTTACCCTCACGCACCAGTTACAAGACATCCAGCAAAAGAAATTTCACGCGATAGATCTCCCTCGCGCGCTGGAAATCTTTTCGGGTCTGTCAATAGTGGGCACGACCCGTACATACGATGACTGGATTGCTTCCCTACAAGCAGAACACACCCGCACTGTCCAGATAGACACGGATCTTGCAGGGCTAGACGGTATAGAGGATGCCCGCCTTCTCAAGACTGGCTATCGCACTCGCGGCTTCTCAGTCTTCTATATGTTCTACGACAAATTACGAGCACATCTTGAAAGGGGACTCTTTCAAGGATGGGCTATCTATAGCGGCCGTAACAATCCGGTTATGAACTGGCAGAAGGGGTGGAGAACGGTGGGTACTGGGAGCGATGCCATCGAACTCTACTGGGAATTCAACTGGGACACCTTCCGCCTTAAAGCCGACATTAAGGAACAAACCGCAGCGCGTTGGGATCGTTGGCAAGAGATCCGTACCTGCCTCGTCGAGTTGTGTGAATCATGTCCTATTGCTGGCTGCAAGACGCCCAACAAAACTGGCAAGTCGGTGACAGCCTATAAGTGGAAGTTCGACTTTTGCAGAGAGACGCTCAGTGGCATTGCTAGCAAGACAAACAATATCCTCTCGCATATCCACGAGCGCCTCTCTGGGATCTAATAACTGCGCCGGCTTTCATGAACCGAAGTTGCCTAATGCGCGGCCTATAGCGTCCCCAAGAATATCAGCGCTCGCTCTCCCCACTCAGGTCGAAACCCCCAACAAGCCGCGCGTCAGTTGAAAATCGACGTTGCGCTGCTGCAAAGCACCGGGGACGTGATCGCCTCGCGCCACCTCGGCCAACAAAGCGGCCAATTGCTCAGCCCAATCGTCGGCCGCACCCGTCAGGGCCAAATCAATATCATCGCCGTAGAGCGCCGCTACCGTTGGATTTGCGCTCACCTGCACCACCGGCATTAGGGGATGCCCCTGTAAAGGATGCTCGCCGCTATGGGCCAAGATCAGGTCCACGCCCGTGGCGCCCAGCCCGGTAGCCGTCTCCACCCAGTGATCAGTGGGCGTCTCCATGATGTAAAAGCCCGGCTCCACGGCCGCCTGGCCGTAGGGCAAGGTCGCGGCATCCGAGGGCTGGACTAGCACGGAGTCCAGATACGCCGGTTCCCGCAGCAGGGTCGCGTTGTGCGGCACGACCACAGTGCCACCCGCCGTCACCACCCAGCGCGTCAACTGGGCAAAAGATTGCGCCGCGTCCGCTCCCAGCTCACCGGTCGCCTGCATCCCCAAGCGCAAGGCACCAAAGCCGCGTTCCACGGCAACGGGTGCCTCCGTCTCTGCCAGCGCTTGGTGGAACCACGCCTCGACCTTGTCCATGGCCTTGACAATGCCGCCGTCCAACTGCACCGAAGCCCAGCCAAAAACAGCCGGGTCCAAGCCCCATTCCTCACAGGCCGTTGCGCATGTAGTCGTTGTGCGTCTTTTCGCAGCCGTGCTCCAGCAGCAAAACGCGCCGCGCCAGCGGATGCGCTGCGTAGCCCATCATGGTGCGCAAGTGCATTTGCTCGGTGGCACCGCTCGACGACAACCCACAGCCCTCAGTGTGGACCAAGGCGACAAAGCGCGACAGCCCTTGCTCGCGGCCCACTTGCCGAGCATTGAGCCGCTCGGCGCACATGCGGGCGATCTGGCCAGCGCACAGGCTGGTGGGCAATACCAACCCCACCTGATCGATAGCCCCATCCAGCATGGGGAACGATACCGCTGGCCCGACCTCGGGCCGCACCGGCACGGGCCGGCCCTCGGGCACGGGAGCGGCCAACAGTTCCTCTAGCTGGCTGGTATCGGTCTGTTGCCAATTGCGCCAGATGGACACTTGGGCGTGGCCAGCCTGCTCACCCAGTGAGCGCTCGCCCGAGGCCACCCGCAAGGTGCGCTCGAACAACGCCTGGCCCAACTCGTCCATCGGCGTGCCATCCAAGTAGGCCCCGGCATTGACATCGAGATCCGCGGCCAGCAACTGGTAGCGCTCCGAGGTGGTGACGATCTTGATCGTCGGCACAAAGGGAAAGTTGGTGATGGAGCCGTTGCCCGTGACAAAGAAAATGGCGTTGCAGCCGCTGGCCACCTGCCCGGCAATGCTTTCCAAGTCGTTGCCCGGACTGTCCATAAAGTAGAAACCAGTCCCTTTGAGCGGCTCGCCGTACTCAATGGCGTAGTCCAAACGCACATCTGGATCGCGCTTGCGCGCCGCGCCAATGGACTTGAGCACGATATTGTACAGACCGCGAAATTTGTTGCCACCGGAGGGATTGCCCTCGGCTGAGGCACCGTGCCACGACACCCGCTCCTTGAAGCGCTCGACCATGTGCAAAAAGGTGCGCGCGGTCTCCACATCCTTGACGTTTTGCAGCACGTACGGTTCAGCGCCGATCAGCTCGTCGGTCTCGGCGAGATTGGCTGCGCCGCCGTAGCGGATCAACTCGCGCGCCACCCAGCGGCCAGCGGGTTGCCCGAAATGCCCGAAAAGGCGTCCGAGCCGCCGCACTGCAAGGCGATCTTGAGATGGCCAAATCGTGCTCGCCCCGCTCCTCGCCCGCCATTTCCTCGGCCCAAGTGGCTACTTGCCGCTCGCCCTCTGCCAAACGCGCCTCAAAGGAGCCGTCCAAGCTCATAAAGCAATGCCGGACGTGATCGAGGGCATAGCCGTGCGCCACCATGTACTCCCGCACATTTTGTTGGTCACGGCTTCGCTACCATAGTCCACCGCCAACACAGCGCCGACGTTGGGATGGGCGACAAAGCCGGCCAGCGTGCGCAATAAGAGCTCGCGGTTATTGGGCGCGGACCAGCCGCCGCCCTCGGTGTGGGCAATCGGCACCACGCCATCGCCGGCCGACCGTCCGCTCCAGCGCTCGGCCAACAGCCGTGCATAACTAGCCGTGCGCGAGGACGTGCCCAAGACGACGATATAATTGCGCGTGCCTACGCCCCGTCCTCCAGAGCGACCATAGCCGAGAAAAGTCCGCCGCTCCTCATGCGGATCGAGCGCAACCCCGGGCTGAAAATTCGCCGGGTCCAATTGATACGGCTCAATGCGATCGACGAAATTGGCCTGCGCGGGCAGATCGAAGTCCAACTGCCGGATGCCCAATGCGTCGAGCATACTCTGATTGCAGGCGTAGTCGCCCGGCTTCAGGGGGCGCTCGGCCACGCCAAAGGGCAGTTGCCACGACAGCAGGGAACTGGCCGGGGTCAATCGGCTCGACGGCAAAGCGATGGCCTTCCATCACCGTGTGCGACAACGCGAACGG